ATGTAGGTACAGATCTTGATATGTCGTCTGATATAGCTTTCTAGAACAAAGTAGAAAAAAATAGTGATAAAAAATTATCCCAAACGAAGCTTTATTCTTTGATCTATCCTTATTCTTCACAATCATATTTGTTTTGGCTTCTTTGTTGTGCAAATGCATATACTTGTAAATGTATTGGCTAAGATCTAGCTCTTAATTACCCCATCTTCAGTTGATCTACACCTAACTATGGAGAGATTATTATGTGAGGAGTCCGGACGCAGAGAACCATTCGGTATTGTGATTGTGAAAAATAAAAGTGCAATTATTGTTCGTCATATTACGCTTTTACTGCACTTCACTTTATTTTTACTGTTCACAGTCACAAAATCGAGATTCTCTGCCTTCGGACTTTGCATGTAATAATCTCCTCTAACTCTGGAGAGATTATTATATGCGGAGTACGGACTTAGAGAAACGTTCAGTTTATTGACTGTGAACAATAAAAGTGAAGTTATTGTTCACCATTGTGCTTTTATAACATTTCAGTATGCTTTTACTATTCACAATCACAAAATCGAGATTTTCTGCCTTTGGACTTTGCATGTAATAATTTCCTCTAACTCTGAGCTATTCTAACATTGAAAGATCATCCACCTTCATTATTAATTAGAGTTAAAGTATTTTTTTTTTATTGAAGATCTAATATTTGTTTAGTCCAAAAAAGTCGAATCTATCTAGCTCAATTTTTTTCTTTTGTTTAGCCTTAATGATCCTAATTTTACTTCAAAAATTGTGCTTAATATCAGAAATTATTGTGACTAAAAATTATTAGTATATATGACTATGATTTATTTTTGAAGATAATTTAAAATTTAGCTTAGAGCTGGTACGAGCTAGAAAATTTGCACCGGTAGAGTAAGAGGGTTTTTATACATATCTTAGATTTGTATGAAGATTCGATACACAAATAAATAAATGAGTAAAATATGTATGCGATATTAGAGTTTTTTGTATAAAAAATCTAGAAAGGGGAAAAATAAAGGGGCTTGACTCAACTGAAATTATTCGACTATGTGAGTCTTCGTTACACATATTTTCTTTTTCGGCAAGATTATAAGAGTTTGAAGAATTGGCAGTAAAAAATATATATATGACAAAGTCTCTTTGGATGTTTGTGCTTGAGGGACAACATTTTGACAATATTGGTTGGGAAACAACTGTTTGAGTACTACGGCGATTGCGTGGTGGGATTTGGACAACAATCGACTGATGAAAGTCTAACGGCGATGATTAGGCGGTGGTCCAACGACATCGGTCATGTGGTGATGCTATGAGATTATTCAAACCTTTGAGCTCTCTTGAATCTCTAGTCAAGGGTCCCTCCATTTAAAGAGCGTTAGCTTATTTATATATTTTTTAGAGTGACAAGCTCCATAGATATGGTGAAAATTCATAACATCCCACTAAACGAAATGTACTAATTCCCTTCATGCATCATAAATCATTTGCCAGTACCTTAATGATATCAGAACTGAGCGACCTTAGACTCATTAGATCGACTTGTCGAGACACTTGATTTTACAATATATAAGCAGATCAAATTCATTTGTCCCTCCACTTAATATTATAAAATATTCAACTATGCTTCGAGTTCTTGATCTAGACTTAACTAGACTCGAATCAGAGCATTTTTAGTGTCGTTAAGTTTGTCTTATCCAACTGATCAATCAGTCTAACTAAAAGTCGGTTGAAATTAAAGTTCAAATGATCATAATTTTTTTTTTAGAATCTTCCAATTTAAGATTAGTGCATGATCAACTTGATTTTTTTTAATTACTTATGAAAAAACAATTAATTTCTAACACCAAAATACTGTGAAAGGTGAGATAATTGAATATTGAATGCTTCCAACTCAAAAGAAATCATTATCTTTTGACTTTTTCCCATTTTGAACCATTTTAACCACTGTTAGAATTTTATTTTGATTGTCATTTATTCTCAGCATTGGTAGTCTTTATGACACTCACATGAAGCATGAGGGAGCACTGTCCTTAGAACATTTTTGTGGGGAATTTGCTGTTTTCCTCTCTCTCTCCTATCCTCATTCTAATTTTCATAGCAGAATCCAAACTGAATTGCACTTGATCATGATAATTTTTTATTATTTTATGCTCAATATAATATAAAATTCATTAATTAAATTTCAAATGTGGGAAAATAATTTATTGCTTGTTTTTATGAGAGTTTATATTCTTATTATATTTTGGTTTCGTTTGAGATAGTTTTTCGTTGTTTTCAAAAAATCTTTGTAGTATAAAATAGCTGATATATGACACTGTAAGAAAGCTGTTCGAAACGAAGGCTTCGATTGGGGACAACTTTCTTATTATTCTCTAAAGTAGCTTTTTAGTACAAATTTTTTTTTTGACTTGAAATTTTTATACTAGAAACTATTTTAGAAAAAAATAAAAAAATTGTCCCAAACGAAACAAAAATATTAATTTTGGAGTATTGAAGTTATGATATTTTTTGAAAGTATTCGGTTTTAAAATGGAAATTAATTATGGATTTCTTTGTGTGAAAAGAAAATTAGTAATGGCCAAATTAAGGAGCACATCAAAATAGATTTTTTTTAAAAAAAAGATAAAAATTATTGATATTTAGAAGAAAACAATGGCACAAGGAATGATTTTTATATTGGTATATAACATTGATTTTAGAGTATTAATTTTTAACATAAATTGTATTAAATAAATTTAATGAATTTTTTTTTCTAAGAAAATATTTTTGATTTGAACATAATAATTTGATTTCGGGTTTTGAATGAGAAAAAGCAAAATAGAAAAAGGCTTCTTTTTTATTTTATAAAAAATGATTTTTTTTCTATTCTAAAATGAGAGAAAATTTGAAGAGAAAGAAATTCTCTTATTGAAATTAGTCTATCAAAAATGTTTGTTTTTTTTTTTTTTTTGTGATTTAAGAACTACAATTTTTTTTTTATTTAAGATAATTTCTGTCACTTCAGATTATTGGTATTTAACAGTAATATATAGTAAGAAAATCAGCTAAAATTTTTAATAGATTGTTTGCTGTAAATTTTTGAAAAATTTCCCAATTAATTTCTCATTGGATGAATGAGATAACAATAGAAAAACCTGTCTGTAAATCAATCATTAAAAAAAATTTACATTGAAATATTATTAAATAAATGAGACTATATTATTAAAAAAAAGAAATAAATCATTTTACACTGAAAATAAATGCAAGAGTGGATGTGGGTCAAAAATATTAAAAACAATGAATTTATACATAAAAAAATATGCACATTAATTATTTTTCCTATGTAACTCGCTCTGAATTTTATATATATATATATATATGAATTTTTGAATATATATTATTTTTGACAAGCTAACTCTAAATTATTTTTGTCAATAATCTTATCACTAGATTTAGGTTTCGCTTTGGACAGCTTTTGGCCAATACCTTTTTTTTTAGGGGTGTCAATTATTGAAATGACCTGACAATCTGTCCCAGAAGATCCGATTTAGGGTTGACCAGTTTAACAAATGGGTTAGGTTCGAGTTTTAAATTTTGACCCGTTTAAAAAATGGGTAAGATCGGGTCAACATAGTACTCGAAAATTGACACGGGATTGACCCAGCTGCGAAGTGCCAACCGGCCTCACGGCCTTCGCATCGTTGCATCTGCGCATTTCACCGCGGCACTTCGTAGTCTCGCCCTAACCCAGTATCCCCCTGTATTGAACATTCGAACTGCAGAGCTGCACCGATCGTAGTCACCCTCGTGTTGCATGGTCGTAGCTGCAGTCTCTCCCTAGCCCTCGCCGCCTCACATGGTCGCATTCGCACCACGTAGTTGGGCTAGTCATTGGTCTCGTCCTTGCTCTCGAGTCGAACTGCGGAGCCGCACCGTGCTTAAAGCCTTGCAGGCACGCTGCAAGCTCACACATGTGTGCAACTCTCGCCCTCGGTCGAATCGCGCTCGAATCACGATTTCCATATCACATTCTTAGGCTCGTGGGTCGTGACGGGTCAACCTGATAACCCACACAGGTCGGGTTTGGTTTGACAACCCTGATCCGTTTGCAAAACCAGGTCAGGTTAGTGTCAACCCGTTTACGACCATGTCAAGTCGGGTTCAACCCAAACCTGACCCGTTTACTCGAATCGATGCCCCTACTTTTTTATGCTTTCTAAAAATTTGGCACTAAGAAGTTGCTGTAAAAATACTATGGCAAATGAATGGACAGCTTTCTTAGTACTTTTAAAACAGTTTTTAGAGCAAACAAAATTTTAAATTAAAAAATTTGGTATTTGAAAGCAGTTTTATAAAGCAATAAGAAAGTGATCTCAAACGAAGCCTTAGTCTAAATTACTACTGATTATTTTTCTTCATCTCTTGATCGTTCGAAATAATTGACGAAATAATTTAAAGTTTGGTAATAATCTAAAATCATATGAGAAAATTTTAGTATATTTATTACCATTGGTTTGGTAGAAACTAAAAATTATCAAAGAATATAAAGGGGATGCTTATTTATTTAAAAATAATAAAATATGTCTCTAAAGTTGCACATATTAAGGAGAGTTTAGGTCTCATCCTAAAATTTAAAAATGATTTTCTAATATTTATTATTTTTCTATAAATAAAGTATGCTTTTATGCCATTTGAACACTATATATTTTACATAATAAATGAGAAATTAGTTAAAATATAATTAATATTTAACTAATTTGTGAATAATTTTTCCAAAAAATGGAATATTTTTTTTGGGAAAAATATTTTAAAAATGGCATATAATCAATTTAAAAATGAAAAGTAAAAGAAAAAATTGCATCATCTAAAGAGATTATTTACAAATTTACAGTCCCAGTAATTGTTCATTTACAGAACTGTGGACTGGTGGATTTACCGACACGTCAGGTCCCGAGCAGGACGTTCAAAAAACTCATCCCTTTCCCTCTATCTCTCTCCTCTCTGCTCTCTGCTCTCTCCTCTCTCTCTCCTCTCTGCTCTCTGCTCTCTCCTCTCTCTCTCCTCTCTCTCTCCTCTCTCATCCTTCCCTAACCAGACGCTGACAGCGGAAGCCTAACGCTTACCAGTGCTCAAATAAGCAACAAAGGAGCATCCTTTACTCTATCCTATTATCATCTGGCTCTCTCTTTCTCCTTTTCTCTCTCTGGAACAGAGGAAACGATGCTGTCGAGGCTTAGTGGCGCGGTTTGGAGGGAGGGAGAAGGGGCGGAGGAGGAAGAGGACACCGCTTCTTGGACAAGAGCGGCCACTTGCGGCGGTGGGATGGGGGAAGGCAGGGACGACATGGCGCTTCCGTGCCTCAAGTCCATTCTCGAGGACGACTGGTACGTAGCAGCAACCTCGGGTAGCGGCGGGAACGTCGGTGGGAGCTCAGTAAACCAGGGTTTTGCTGGAATGAACCCACCGGATTCTTCTCTCCTCCTCCCGCCGCAGGTCGATTCGTCCTGCTCCCCTTCCTCCGTGTTTGCACTCGACCCTTCCGCTCACCAGGCCTTCTTTCCCCACAAACCCGCTCTTTCCTCTTTTCTATCCGCTGTGTGCTCCAACCCGTATGACGCCGGCTTCGATTTTGTCTCGGATAACCCGACCTTCCTTCCTCCGGTGAATCCTAACGCCGCCACCTCCGGCTTTGGCGGTGGAATGTTGGGCTTCCCTAACGTGCAGATTAATAGCCAAGATTTATTGCCTATGGCCGGAAGCTCCTCTTTGCTAAACCCCATGGCCTTCGATTCTTTTGAAAATTCGCCCTTTTTGAGTAGGGGAAAGGTTTTAAGGCCTCTGGAGATCTTCCCACCAGTAGGCGCTCAGCCCACTCTTTTCCAGAAACGGGCTGCGGCGGCCCTGCGCCAAAATTCAAGCAGTATGGGAGGTGATAAAGGCATGTGTTTGGGGCTTTTGGGCATGGAAGCTACCGGTCAGTTGAGGAGCTCTTGGGATGGCGAGCTTGAGAAGAGGAGGAGAATAAACGACGACGATGAGCTTGATGATGCCAGCATTGATGGCTCTGGCTTAAATTATGATTCTGAGGATATCTGCGAAGTTGCCGAAACTGTAAAGGTCGATGATGAGAAGAATGATGGCATAGGAGCAGCATCCGGCGGCGGCGGAGGAGTTGGCAATGTTTCCATTACTAATAGCAGTCTAACTGGTGGTGGAGAGCTCAAAGGCCGGAGAAAGGGTCTTCCTGCAAAGAATTTGATGGCCGAGAGGAGGAGGAGGAAGAAGCTCAATGATAGGCTTTACATGCTAAGATCTGTTGTTCCAAAGATCAGCAAGGTGAGAACTTTCATCTCCTCCATTTCATTTTAGTTGCTTCTTAGTGAATTTCTTGCAATTAGTGCCATATTTTTCACTGCTCGTTAAGATATTTAGACAGAGAGGCCCATGTTACTTAAACATACCTTTTGTGGTCATCATGGATGAATGTGATCGGCATTGATGTTCTGCTCTTTGGTCCCCTTGTAAATGGACAATTCACCCTTGTCCTTGTATGAATTGGGCCAATTATTTATATCATTTTACTGGTGAGAACTATTGGCCGTGGGTTTTTTCTAAAATATTTGAAACTTTTGACGCACCTTTTGTAGATATCATGGTTAATAATTGATGTATAATTTATTGATTTTCTGGTAGAAAATCTCTCTTCACAAACAGGTTTTGGGCTTGAATTGCAAGCTCGATGCTTGCTATATTCATTCAAGTTTTCTTCATCCTTTTGTTTTTTTGGTTTTCTTGATTGTTGGAGTTTTCACCTCCATTATTTTGGTTTTTGTAATTGTTACAGGCTTGACAAAGATGTTGATAATTGATTTTTCTGTACATTATAGAGAAGTGGTGCTGAGAAAATTTATTTATTTATTTTGTTTTTTTGTTGTTGTTGAGATAGATGGATAGAGCTTCCATTCTTGGTGATGCAATTGAGTACTTGAAGGAGCTTTTACAGAGAATCAATGACCTTCATAATGAACTTGAGTCCACGAATTCTTCGATGCCCACCTCTAGCACATCGAGCTTTCACCCTTTAACGCCGACACCGCCAACTCTTCCGTGTCGAATCAAGGAGGAGCTTTGCCCAAGCTCATTACCGAGCCCGAATGGTCAACCAGCAAGGGTTAGATTTCAATAAGCTAAAACCTTCAATTACACTCCCACTTTCATTTTTTGTTTTGATTTTTTGCTTATTTGATCAGTTTGCTTTATATGAAATAGCATGTTTGTTTCATATCATTAGTTTGATCAACTCTTGACAAGTTTCATTCTTTTGTTCTTGTCCAAAATTTAAACTTTTTAAATATGAAATGTTATTTACTAAAATAATTTGAAACTGTTATTATGATTTACAGTTACTTATATGATCTGAGTCATATCCAAAGTAGGTTGAACTTTTATGATGTTGGTGAAAGTTATTACATGCTTACATCATTTATTTCTTTTCATGTCAGTCCTTGCATGAAATTTAAAATCCGCGGATTCTCACAAATCTTAATATTATGAAGGTCTGATTTTTTAAGAGGACACAATGGAGAAAAATGATTCATGTAGCCGACCCCATCTAGTGGGACGAAGGCTTGATGTTGTTGTTGTTATAGCTATAAAAATCAAAACCAGCAACAGTCAGCTTTATGTAGTATCTGAAGTATATTATCAATATATGATTCTGATTATTTGAATAATCTTCTTACTCAGGTAGAAGTAAGGCTAAGGGAAGGCAGAGCTGTAAACATACACATGTTTTGCGCCCGTCGACCGGGTTTACTCCTCTCAACAATGAGAGCTCTTGATGGCCTTGGCCTTGACATCCAGCAAGCAGTCATAAGCTGCTTCAATGGCTTTGCCCTCGATGTTTTTCGGGCCGAGGTAAAATCTTTCTTTCTTTCCAGTTTCCATTCCTATCAAGCAGAAGGAATTGTTTCCTTGCTGATAATAATGTATTCTCTTTTGCCAGCAATCAAAGGATGGACCTGGTGTTCTGCCAGAAGAAATCAAAGAAGTTCTCTTGCATTCTGCAGGCTTCCAAAATGCACTGTGATGTTGAATTATAATCACATAAATGCTTCATCTGCCACTTGCCTGATTGATTGTGTTGTCAATGGCTACACTATCCTTCTACTTGGCATGAGTAGGAAATTTCATTCTATCTCTTATTATTCTGAAAATAAAATGTTTCCTGTTAAAGTTCAGTTTAAGAAACTTTAGTTACTGCACTAATCAACTTTTCTGTAATTTGTTTTCTTGTACCTTTTGCATCTCAATGTAGTCTACCCTGCAGTTAAATTGTCTAATTTGCTTTTTTTTTAGTCTTTGCTTTTCTGCCTTAGGCTTCATTTGGGACAGCTTTCTTAGGCTTATTTGGGACAGTTTTCTTGCTGCTTGTTAAAGCAGCTTTCTAGTTCAATAATTAAAAATTTTGTACTAGAAAATTGTTTTAAGAAACAACAAGAATGCCGTCCCAAATGAAGTCTTAATGCTGCTGCTTGAAGCAGCTTTCTAAAAAGCTGCTTCAAAAAGTAGTAAGAAAGCCGTCCTAAATGATCTAATAGGTGATTATTGAATTTTGGGAGATTTAAGTGTAGATATTATTAAGCTAACAATTTAATTGTTTAAATGAATTATGAATTTAGCAAATTTTTTACAATAAAAGTTGATTCTTTTCTTGTTTTTTATATTTGAATTGATATGGAATAAACATAAAGCTCAAATTTTGATTAAATTTGTCATATTTGAAATAATTATTTGTTGTCTTGGAGTGGTTTAACTTATTAAAGTGTTGAAATTATTCATAGAAGACTTTCTTCTCTTGTCCATCTCTAAACTTTTGGAAGCTTAAGAGCTTGTCTTCTTCTTCTTGGCATATAACAGAATGATTAAAATGAAACTTTGACATATAACTAATAACCAAAAAATATAACAAAATTTTCAAAAGATAAATATAATTAATTAAATTACAGATTATATTATATTTATGTCAAAATAAAATTTAAAAATATAAATCTCATCTCTTAATTTACAGAAATGCTCTGTAGAAGAAGATAAAATTTAACGATTTCCTCATCTAATAAATGTATATTCCAATTGTTTTTGCCTGATAAATTTGCAAACTCATTATTACTTCTTCCTTTACAATGAAATGCAAATATTTTCAGTCAAGAATCTTTTCTGAGCTCTGCTGTATTTGACAGACACACTGACTGTCTGAAATGATCAAGCTCCTACTGTTCATAGCCTTGTCTCTTTCTATTGTTTTTTTTTTTTAATATTTAGGTTAATTAAGATAAATTAATTAGTTGATAATTAAAGCTCTTAATTAAGAGATCAATGTGAGCTGCATATCTTTTCTATTGTTGGATTCCAAAATGAAAACTGAAACTGTTCATTACCATTGGGATTATTGATATTGTGATGGTTTTGTAGATATGAAGGCTTAGAAATTGCTACTGAGAATGAGGATATGTATGACAAGTCTGATTAAACTTGATTTAGAGAATAGTTAGATTAGTAAATTGATCTTAGCGCTTCTCCATTTTTTAACATAAAAAAAATAATATTATGTGTATATTTTTTCTATTTTTTTATAAATATATTTGGGATCAAATTTTTATAATTTAATCATTTTAAATTAATTTTCTAATTTTTCAAAAAAAAAAGTTTGAAAATTCGGCTGAAATTCGAGTTTGGGTGGAGTTGGTTGCAGACGGCAAATAGTTATTTCATGTTTGGTGACATATCCTTAATCAAGCCTAAAAGATAAAATAGGGTTATATCAAATCGAGCATCATACATGATTAGGGCTTCTTCCAAAAGCAAGATCATCTACAACATCACCCACTCAACAAAACTAAAATAATCGATGGAAGAAAACATGATTCTATTATTTGATAAACATAAGGGAAAATATAAAAGAGAGGGAGGAGAGAAGGGACGATAAATGAGCTTACTATTGAAGGAGAAGAGGAAGATTATGAAGAAGATGCTTGTTGATTTTTAGTTTGGCAGCTGCGAGAGGGAGGAGGGCTTTCGGTGGCTACGAGCTAGGAAACAAAAGAGTAAAAATAATGCCCTAAGTTGCCTATTGGGTTTAACTAGAGAGAGGGAAGTCGGCAGGGGCGGGATGATTTCAAAATGGAAGAGAAATAATGCGATTTGCGTGATTGGAGAGAGAGAATCGCGGCTTTTAGCCACTCGGGTTGCTCTTGTGTCGAAAAGGCGAAGGAGGAGCGTGAGGGAGAAATACCGGACCGGTTCGACCTGATTTGATCTATAACAGATATAATGATAGCACTGCTTACACTGATTGGTTGGTTGAGGCTATGCTACCCAAGCTTAAGCTCTTGTGTTGAAGAGCATGTGCTTTCTTTTAATTGTTATTAATATTTTGTTTGAGGCAATTTAAGCTTTTTTATATTTGTCTTCAAAAGCCTCTTTTTGAGCCATAGTTACAAATATATTTTTTTTAAGGTAAAAGTTTAACGTAGCATAAATATAGCTGTCTTTAATTTTTTTACTAATTGTTTTTCTCACCATAAAAGCAATTAAAAAACTATTCTAATAAAGCTTATATTGCTTAACGCTAAAAAAAATTAAGAAAAAAAGTTTTAATGATAGTTCTTTACTTCATACAAATTTACTTATGAATGAAGTTATTCAACTTATTTGGGATGCAATAAATTTTATTTAGAATAAAATATTACCCTAAACCCTAAACATAACTTATTTTGTTCTGTTGGTTGAAGGTTTTGACTACTAATAAAAAAGTTTTGGATTCGAAGCTTACGTATGTGATATTGATGTGACTTTACTTTAAGGCTCAAACGCCATCAGGGAACCAACAAGAATGTGCCACATCACCAATTGCTTGGTATTTCAGCTCGATATTGCTGACGTGATGCATTTTGATTGATCTCTAAAAAAACGTTCTGAGTCTGATCTCCACACAAAATAATTAACTAAAAAATCAGAAACAAGAAGCAAAAACGTCATGATTTATCTGCTTGGTTCCCATTAGATTCAACGCCAAACTACTATTCCATGTTTGATGGCTCATCTTCATCTTTTCCATTAATTGATGTCACTAACATCCACAATAGCCTTCCACTAGTGATTGGCCAACTTTTAACATTTAATAACTTATTCTTATAATTCAATCTACTTGTTAGCATTAGCATCATTATTGAATCTTCTCATCATTAATGTCATTAGTCACATCATTATTCTAAGACTTCATTTGAGGAGAAATCATTCTGTGCAAAACCCAAAAAAAAAAAAAAAAAAAAAAAAACCATCCGATCATACGGGCAAATTACTTCATCCGATCACCGGATGCAGAGATAAGTTCGGATATTAATAAAATATTATTTTAAATTAAGCGCTTCAAAAGCGCAGGTAAAACGTAGGTAAAATGCATGTAAAACACAGTCAAAAACGCAGGTAAAGAGCACATACAACGCAGTCAAATGCGCAAATGACGTGGCATGTTTTTATTGGATGTCCGAACCTATTCTACGTGTCCGGTGACCGGATGCAATAATTTGCCGAATATATGAATGTACACAATATACAATTTCGCTTATACTTGAATTTCAACACAACCACTTGATTAACTTATTAATAAATAAATATAACATTTATGCAAATAAATCATAATTAATCAACATTGAATACAGAGGAACATTCACAGAATTTATTCAACTATTTTTACATAAAATCCATCTCCATCTCATCAATAAAATGTACTTATACAGCTTATCAACTAATAACATTTACTCCAATAAATGGTTGATCAATCAACATTCAGTACAGGAAATTCAGCTCAATAATTCAACAATTTGTACCTGTCGATGTGCACAAGCCATTTGTTGATCTTCTTTGATCAATGGACAAAATTGCTCTATAATGCGATGGATTGCATGCAAGTCTTGAAGCCAAAAGACTTACTTCTGTAGTGCTCAACATTTTCTTGTGCTACATACAATATTTAATCATTAATTGCATTCAAGTATCATTGAAAGTAGTTTTCTCAACTGTTTGTACATGGATCAATGAAGCTTAACTAGAAGATAACTTCTGGCCACTGTTTTTCTACTGAAAACTTTTCTGAATCTTATATTAAAAGCAGCTGTAGAAATAGAAAGTTTTCCCCAATGAAGCCTTAACTAGTCACATAAAATGAAAGAATTATTCTGTGCAAAGCCGTCCAAAGACAAATAAAAAAGCACCACATCACCCTTTTACTGAACTGCGACTCAGTAATGTTCGGTACCACTCGGTCCTGATACTCAGTTCCACGGCATCCAGGTGTTGAGCTGTGCCCGGCGTCCGCACAGAATAATTTCTCCATAAAATGAGCCACATGAAAATAAATCTATAACGATCATTTTGTTTTTAAATTTAGCATTTTGAGAGATGCAATAGGCAGTTGTAGGAAACTAGAAGTTAATAGAATTCTGAAAAATTGCTGCAGAGAACCAGATAAGATCTTGAAATATAATTGTGTTTATCAAATTATGTGCTAAGCAAATCATATTAAACTTGCACTTTAGATTGATTCTAATCAAAATAACCCTACTGAAAAAAGCAACATATCCGACCACCTGCTCTTCTTGGCCTTACAGTGCTAAAAATGTTGTTAGCAAAGTAGGAAACCTAATAATATATTTATATATTTGAGAGATGCGCTATTTACATGGTTGTGAAGGTAATCAATAGCTATAACACAGCAATTAACCTTCTACAAAGCACAAAGAAGAGACTTATTTACATGACTCACAAATCAAGCTAGTAGTAGTAGACAAAGCTAAACCCAAAACTGCATTTTAAATAAGGGAGGAGGAACCCTACCGCAAAGATAAGGGTCACTATTCCATAATTTTACCCGACTTAAACAGATTACCACAAAGTCAACCATAATATAGGCCACCTGCAGAGAGTAAAAGGATACCAAGTTTTCTTTTAGGCATATGGATCCTTTGCACGTCCACTCTTACAACCTACAATGAAATGTCGGTCAGTCGCTAAAAGAAAACATTCAAAAGAAAATAATTTTGTGTATATTTTAGTAAAAATTAAAACAAAAATAAAACAAATTAAAAAGCTAAAAGAGATGGCTATGATTGTCCTGAGTTATTAACCCACCCCCAAATTAATATTGAAACTGCATATTTCGGATTAAGTTGGTGCTAATCTGAGGAACCTTGAACCAGCAAATGAAGCCATAGATTTAATTAAATTTATAGAAACGAAGTAAAAAAAAATTCTTCAATGAGATAAGTTCTCAGGCCTTTGGCAATATCACTCAGGTATAGGCATGCATCCCCTGTAACTAAACTATCTAATTCTTCAAGTGTGTTTACATACGAGCTATTATTCTGTGCGGACACTGAACGGGAGAACCGTCCGGTTAAGCACTGGGTACCCACCGGTATCGAGGGGTACCAAGCTGGGTACTCAGTAGACCTGTCAATATTGGACCCGACCCGAATACCCGACCCGAACCCGACCTGAAATTTTCGGGTTTGGGTTGACCCGAACCCGAATCTTCACGTCCGCGCGGAGAGATTTGGCTGAAATAGGTGGGGTCGGGTTGACCCGAACCCGAAGCGGGTCGGTTTCAGGTCCAGAAAATCAACCCGTTTGAAAAAACGGGTCGGGTCGACCCGAACCCGAATAATACCGGGTCAATTTCGGGTTGACCCGAATCCGACCCGTAACCCGAAATTGACAGGTCTAGTACTCAGCAATGGGGTGACGTGGCGTATTTTTATTGATCGCCTAACGCCCTCCGGACTCCGCACAGAATAATAAATCGTTATATACAGTGCAAATCACAGTAAACGATTCAGTTTCTCCCTAACAAAAGTTTCTGGTTTGTTTCTTTAGCAAAAGAAAAGACAGCATTCAACAATAACCAGGCACTCACACTGCATTATCTAGGAAACAGTTTTATCACTTCGCCCAGTAGTTTCTGAAGTTGGCAGAGAAGTCTTAGATTCCCTTTCAGCCATGTTATTATCCTTCAGCGAAGGCAATTTGTCATCAGCTACTGGGTTGAGTGTTCCAGGGTTCATCTTCTGAACCTCCTCTTTAGTGTATATGTAAATCTTGCGAACCATGCTACAGAACTCCCTGGTTAGAACGAAATAGGCATTGATTAGGGCTAAATAACAGAAAGAGTTCACATTTAATGAAAGCAGGAGAAGAGTGGCAACTTACTGCCATGGATCATCACCAGCCAGCATCATATCACCCTCGTTGTCTGTATAAACAATCATCCAGTTTTTATTCGAAGATTTCAATTCACCCCCAAAGTCGAACATCTTATCTAACTCTGCAATTAGTTCAATGTAGCTGCTGAATCTGGTGAGATCCACTGACCTCCCAAGAGCTATGCCCTGCTTATGAACCTGAAACAAACTGAATGGTGAGACTTCGCTCAGATAAAACATGACTTGTATTTTCTAAGTATAGTAGAAAAAATCATAACAGCTAAAGATTTTAGCTTATTATCTCAAGTATTTGATAAAAGCTATAGAAGGTAGGTAGCAACTGGAAATAGCATTGACAGATGAATATGCAAAATGGCTAATTGTAAAACAGAAAGGCAAACCTTAGTGCAGCTTCTCGTTGAAGCAGTGGGAGAAGGCTTGCTTTGTACATCTTTAGAAGGTCGTGATTGATGGCATTTCTCTGCTAAGGTAGCATCAATTGACTTTCCACCTTTAGACTGCTCTGAAAGTTGGTCAGATTCAGGAAGATATGGTTGAGGCAATCCAACAGCAGGCTGACCAAGAAATTCTTGTATTTGATGCATATTGACCTTCGGTATTACAGGTTCTGAGGCGAGATTGCCATTAAGATGAACCCCAAAGAGCTTGCAACTTTCTTTAGCCCTTTCATTTTCAATGAGGGATGCCTTGGAAGGCTGTGGCTTTGGTGAGCATGCCTGGAATAAGTTTTCAGCTAATGGGGTTTTCAGGTGATTTGTAAAACAGGTGTGAGGCTTATGATCAGGACCAAGTCCATGTATCACTGGGTGCCCTTCGAGCCGGTAAAATCCATCATTTTGATTTCTATGATTAGTTATCTCAGTTGTATTAGTTGACATATTTCCTTCAAGATTTAAGTATGCATGAGATGGCATTAAAGACAAATTTCCTGAAAGCCAGTTGAGTTCACATTTCTGACTGGAGAGACAATTCTTCAGGATCTTTGCATCAGCAGATGTATGTTCAAAGTATGGCATACCAAAGTGATGCAGGTCATCAGGAGTCTGCAATCCAGATAGCATGTCAGTATAAGAAGGTTCATGCATACTGACTTGGATCCAACTATCTAAACCCAACATTTTCTGGGAAGAACCAAGGTGTTTCTCTTCAACATGACTTGCAGGCCAAATAATAGATTTTGAAACAGATTCAGACAAGTTACTCTCAGAGAAGTTTTTTCTAGTGCTTGTAACGTCTTTTCCTTGCACTTCCATTGCAATTCCTTGTGCCAGGGAAGGGTCTGCAGCCACTTTAGATGTCCCTAAGCAAAGCCACAAAAATGACAGTTGCCTAAGATCACATGAAGATATCAATGCAACCACCTGAAAAATTAAAACTTACAAGCACAATAAATCTCAGCATTTCTACCTTCTCTGGTAAGGACAGAAGAATCAGGAGATGTGGGGATCACATTCACCCGAGGTCTTTTGGGCCTTGGAACAGGAAGAGGGTTCACCGGAGGGGTCAAAGCAGGTTCAATTTGCCAGGGGGAAACTCTCTCAGGACGAGGAACAGAAGAATTTTCATCCCAGCGTACCTACATCCATAGAGTTGGTGATCTATGCACAAAATACAAGCAAAAAATAGGAGATATTTATCCTTGTACCTTTAGGCATCTCCATTTTGAACCAGGCCAACAATTAGAATCAACATCTCCCATTCCAACTATCGTACCGGTGAACCTACAAAGAGAACCACAGAAAATATAAAAATTGGTATTTTACCCAGCTGGATTTTACTCTGCAATTTTATTGCATTTCGTGGTATAGTGTACCGTCATACCTTTGCTCAGGGGCCTCTTCACCTTCAAACCTCATTTTGAACCTCATCCCAATTGAATGGTTGTTCTTGAGAGATTCCATGTACTGAGTACATGGAATGATGAACTCAGAAGGGCTTGTCCTGTTACATTTGGTGCCCATTAAAAAAAGAAAAACTAATTAATAAATAAAGAATAAAACCGCGATTTTTTTTTTTGAATTTAGGCCAGACACCTCGGTTTGTAGTACACGGTAAACAAAGTTCCTGTGGAAATAGCATGCCAAGCAGTAGCAAGGACGCCAAGATGCATGCTATGGCTAGATATGACTGAGGATGGTATGTTGGTCTGCTGCCTCATTGCTCTTCTCACACCTACGCGGAGTTCTCCATTTGCTCCCCTAAAATTCCCATTCAAATATAGAATCAAAGCATATCTAATAACACATGCCACAAGCTGAGATTATAATAGCTTACCTCAGAAAAATAAAAGCATCACCAGCAACAAGCCTCTTAGAACTTACAAAGACACTCCACCCGCTTTGAAGTAGATGCCTTCTTGGTTGACCTGCGAATTTTTCAAGAAATTAAAAAAAAAAAAAAAGTGAAAGCCAAACAAGGATACAATCTCCAAATTTAGACTTCAAGAAGTCATAGTTAAAGGTCTACTTCAAAACAAAGTATATTAAATTTTTAAAAGAACAACAAAGAATCAACATCAAGCGTTTAACAGTAGTAAAACAGGAACCATTAGGCGCATGCTGGAGCACCACTAATTCTGATTTCTTTCAATGAACTGTACCTCAAAATGTATCAGTGGCTTCTTACTTCCAGCAAACATTACAAGTCCCCAGTAAATAACGAGTTAATGAGGCATCTTGAATATTCAATGCATTGATAAACAGAAAAGAAATGTTGAATAAGTTACAAAACTTGATTCATAGAAACAAGATTTATTAAAGAGATAGAAGATCATGCTTACTGATAGCACATTGCATAGCTCGTGGCATAGTGAAGCAAACCTCTTGAGCTATTAGCATAGCAAGGTGCAGGTAGACATAATAGTGTGCGTTATGTGTGTACTATGTGCTATAGCAGATAACACACATTCTTTAGTCTATTTAATTATCGGACTATTTTCTTTTTACCTTTTGATTGTAGTAACATTGTGAGGGCTACCGGTGTGTATAAAGGAATCTAAAACATTCAAGATAGATTTAATGGCCTTCATCTAGGCCCAACAAACTTCTAGATGCCATTTAAATGATGAAGGTGATTAAAAAGATTATGGTTTCAGAGACAACAAAGATGGAGCTCGCTATTCTTATAAATTACGGTGATGATGATTTTTAAGATAACTAGTTAACCTTGCTTAATATGAGACTTATCAACAAAGGGTTTTGTGTATTTTGAACCTTAGATGCAAAGTTCAGCATATTGTCCAAAAGTTATGGCTTAATACCATGATACTTTTATTTGCAAACAAAATAATTTTCTTTACAATGATGGTAGATTTTCTAATTCAATTGTCCTTCATTAACCATCAAGTATGTTAAAGCAGTCTAATATTCTATCATGAGACATTAAGTATTTTGTTTTTTTTTTTCTCTCGCAATATTTTCACTCTTACATTATTGATTTATTAATAAATTATTTATAATTTTCTTTAAATTGTAATACTTTTAAAATAGCTCATTGCCATGTCAAAATAGCTCATACCATTATATGAGATGCGACTCCAAAAAAGTAGAACTAGCAATTTTGTTTAATCTTCACATAAATCTTGCCAGAATTTTAATCAATTAGAAGTCAAAATTGATTTGACTCAACTCGAGTATGGATCACTCGAAATTAGTTTGATTCAACACAAGATCGACTCAATTCATTTAAAAATGCACAGTTATATATCTTGACATTATATATGAATACTCAGATATATACTATAAGTATATATAACATCTAAATATATTTATACTTCAGACCTACATACTCCCTCTATGTATAACTTTCTAAAAATTAAGTACAATTATATATCAATATTTGAATAAATATAATTCATTTAGAAATTAAGATAAGTTAATCTTTTAAAATTAAGAAATTAGGCTTACTCAACTCAGACTCTATACTATTAAGTTTGAATCAAACTTGGATAAACTCAAAATCGAGTTTTCGATTTCAAATTGAGGCAAACTCACTCAAACTCGACTCTCTTCCAGCACCACAAGAGATTCATGCTGTAGTGCGCTTGCAAATGCAACAACATTCCAAATACTTGAGAAAGATATGTGGATCATGGTACATTCAGATTTTAGAAACAATATATTACTGAATTGAGCTACTTACAATCAAGGAGAGATTAAATAAGCAAGCACATACACAATTGCAGAGAAAACACCAAGATTAATAGCATGTTGATCTGAAGAGCTAAGTCCATTACATCAAGGTTTAGAAAATTTTCCACTATAATTTTTTCACGTGACAGTTACAAGGCTTTTATATGGATAAAAGAGGGGGGAAAAAACTTAGAAGATGATTCTCCATAGAGAAAGGTCAAAGTTGAGCATTTCTTAAGATTTCAGAGATAAGGAGAGATATAAGATGAAGAAGATCAGGATATCTCCATTTAGCAATAGGACTAGGCAGTAGATGAGTAAAAATCAAAGAATAATCGAAAACCTTCGAAAATGTTAGAGACCTCTATATAGTCATTAGTTGAAAAGACTTGCATTCGTGGCTATCAGGTTACATGGTGCTTATAGGATGGACACTAATTACCAAATGGCAGTCACTCAAGGATGCGGTAACACACAACAACCATGCACACAAGGAGCCAGGTGTTTATTGGTGCTTAAGAAGGTCAACGAGACATTATTATGACAATGCATAATCATTCAAATACTCTCAAGTAGTCACATCAGGTAGATATTGATCAGAATTATCATGACAGGATGTTGAATCTGAATGGATGATGAAAGTAAAGTTGAATTATATCTTTGTGAGTACAACATATATTGTAATGAAATATTTTCTCCATGTGATGAATGATACACATATGAAAGGTTAGGTTGACATGTGAGGCCTGGAAGACAAAGCATTTAACAAAACTACTCAATATTTACAATTGTATATAGGATGAACTCAAATAATCTTAGTATTATGGATTGTGCGAGAATACAAGACAAGAAAGAATTAAGTGAATGATAAAATGGCAGCATGCAACCTGGAAAATGCTAAACAAACTCCAACATGTGATTTATATGATAATAGCATAATACTATAAAGATGTCCTTGAATCATCTCATGGAATGCCCTTCAATCAAAATCAATGCATTTGCATAGAGTCCTCACCTCGGAAAATATGGCGGAAGCGCCACTCAACTCCATGTAAATCCTTTGCCACAAGCTCCTGCGTTGGAGGCTGCCTTCCCATGTCCTGAGAAGTAGAGCAAGCATATCAAATCAGTTGACAAAAATAAAAAGCACAACAATGGATATCAACTCATACAGGAGGATCATCAAAACAGCTTGAGCATCATATATGAGTGGAAAGTTGAAATCCCATACTAGTGGAGGAAGACACTCATCGGCATGCCGCCTCAGAACTGAAAACCCTCCATGTGTACTCGTATCAGAAGCAGTCAGAGTTTTGCAAAATGAATGGGAATGAGGCTTTGCTGGAGGTGACAGCAGGGGATCCTTCTCAAGGGCCTGCTCATTTTGCTGAAACCAAACAAGACGCGAAAAAAAAAAAAAATCCATGAACATCTACTCTCTTAATATATTACTGCACATCAGGTAAGGGATACATTTAAGAACAGTAGAAAGCCGAACTATAACTTACATTTGGCTCAGGGAATAGCGTTATCTGAGCATAAACCTCATCAGTATCAAGCTCAGCCTGCTCATCAGTAAAAACTTCCATCAATTAAGTGTAAAGCTACACAAACACTGGCTCTACAGAGAAAGAAGGCCTATATAAATGGGGGATACCTTCAACTCAAGGTTCATCACACGGCAGAGTATCTTGGAGGGAAGGTTGTACACCGGCATCTGGTGGTCGGCCACCTGGTTAGTCGATGCCTCCACCTGGTTCACCGCCCCGAGAATAGCAACCACAATAATTAATGCCTAACAAGTGGAACAAGCACAAAACGAAATCAAAGTCCTAGGGTAAAAAAAAAACGAGCTACCTGCTCTATATGTCCCTGAGGGAAGTAGAACACCCGCTCCCCCAGGCGCGGGACCGTAACAAGCGGGCCGGCGCAAGCATGCCAGAGCTCGTTGTAGAGCGATTCCTCCGTCTCTGGTAACAAAATCATAAGCCATGACCTAAACCTTAAAACATAAACTTAAAAGACAGAAAGATCGATCACCAACACAGACGCGTCGACCGTGTCGGCGGATGGCGGGAGACATACCTTTCCCAGTGGGCAGACGATCTGTGCAGGACGAGGAGAGGCTATCTCCGTGGCCATTTCCGCCACTGGTCTTCCCTGAAGCTTCAGAAGACGCCATCCCGAGGCAAGAAAACCAGAGATCTCACATCCACGGGACAGCGAGTTGAGATTTCGAAGATCCTCCGGCGCCGGAGCACCTTAGGAAAGCAGATCGGTGCGGGAGAATAGATTGACGGCTGAGACTACGAAGAAACCCTAGAAATCGATGTAGGTCAGGTGATGGACTACACAAGGACCGAAGATATAGCATGTGCCCCCTTTTCCGCTCACTTGCGATCGCTACCGCCTTCCAACCCGCGCCTCTCTTTTTCTCTTTTGCACAGAGCGGAGCAGAGAAGGACGATATAGAGAGAGAGAGACAGAGAGTAGAGAGCGTTGAGAGAAAAATCCAGCTGCTAAAGGCTTTCTTCGTACAGTAGTCGACCAGGAGGCCACCAGTCGTCCTTGGCTCGTTGAGACAAAGGCCGTGTATCGACGGGTTGAAATATCCGACCCGATTAACCTTAACCCGAAAACCTGAACACGATTTGCTTATTAAACGGTTCACAATTTGAACCGAACAATTACATTAAAACATGGGTGACACGAGTGGGAAAACTAGTCATATCTTTACTTGATTAATTGTGAGGAAATATTTCAATAACTAATACTATAAAATTTTAATAAGTATTAAATATCCACAATAATAGTTCTATAAAAATATAATAATTTTGATATGATAATGAAATATTTTAATAACTCTAACATCCACCCACAAACTTACAATGCTCGATAAAAATATCGAAAGTTTATATAGTGCAACAATTTTAAATCATTATTTTTTATCTGCTTTCAAGAATTTTTTCTACTAAAAAATAATTTTACAAAGCAATAAAAAAGCTGCCCCAAACGAAGCCTTAAATTCAGAGTTAATTAACATCTTTTTTGAAATTAACACATAAACGTTCATTCTCATAGGATCTTCGAGACGATAAGACGACGAAGACTTAGAGCATGGCTCTAATAGCATAATTAAAAACATAAAAGACTACATCTTTAGTTTGTTGATTATGATGCTAATACAATTATGTCTATATAAAAGATGAGAAGAAAGCAACAAAATAAATTAGAATAAAAAAAAATAATTTTAATAATGAAGGTATATTTCAATAATTAATCCTACATATTTCTAATAAATATTAAGCATATATCAGTATAAAGTTATAATATTTTTAATATTGTAGTATAATATTCTAATAACTCTAATAAGCCAATGTCATTGTAAACATTTTAAAGCTAAGCACAAAGTTCCCAATTACTAATATTTATTAATTGATATAAATATTCTCAAGTTAGAGTAAAGAAGTAATAGAAGATAATAATAATAATAATAATAACAAATCAATAAATAAATAGACTGAGATGGGCAAAAGATACAAGCTATCACAGACTTGGATATTATTTAGGGATCCTTAGTTTTGAGAGAGAGAGGAATTTTTATTCGGTGTGGAGTGCAGACATAAATCTGTAGCTGTTCACCACGTGGAGCCCACCTTGACCCCATCGATCTCTTAGCGAGAGAGAGAATATCCAGCTAAATAGAGCTACAAATGAGAAAAAGTGTCTCTTCATGTTCGAACACGTTTATTATCAATTTATTCAATCTTGATTTGAAAGTTTATATTTGTATTCGAGATTAGTTTAATTAAAATGATAGATGATCATGTTTAATTTGTTTGATTCGTTTATTTTGTGCTTATTGAGCTTTTAAATAAACAAGTTTCATCGATCTATTAACGAGCTTTATTATCTAGAGGTTTATTAGCTTAAAAAATAAGCTTTATTAAGCCTCATAACAAATAATTATCAAAGAGCATATTCGTGAATATATCAAGCGAGTATTGTTGGGCTACAAAACGAGCCCATTCACGAATATATCTAACGACTATTTCTGAGTTACCAAGTGATTGTTCACAAACAAAAGTGCTCAGAAAATTGATTCTTTTTATAACATGAAAAAATCGAATAAATTCATTCTAATAAAAAGAGTAAATATAAAAAAAATGAAATTAATTTTTTTTATATAATAAGAATCATTTATTAAAATAAAACTAAAAATTATGTGATAACATAAAAAACAAACATTAAAACAAATTTCAAAGAAAGTATTTAATTCCAAATATTATTTATAGATAGGCTTGCTGACAATCTCTGTATTGAACATGAATCAATCTTCTTATTGACCTCCGTACCAAATTTATTCACGCGCTTTAAACGATGTTATTCATAAACATAAACGAGTCAAATACATAGTTCTTAAATTTGTTTATTTAACAATCTGGTACTTAAAAAAACAATCAAACTTGTTTAATTACTGAATCAAATGATCATAAACGGGGTATAATCAAGCCAAGCTATGAGAAGCATGTGATTTTTAAATGAAAGCAATCTTATTTGATGATATAATATATGTTGTATAGATAGAGCTTACTGCAAATCAAACACAAGTCTAAAATATGGTAACTAAGGCTTCGTTTGGGACGGACTTTCTTACTGTTTCTTAAAAGCAGCTTTTTTTTGTACTAGAAAGCTACTTTTGAGAAGCAGTAAGAAAGACGTCCCAAACGAAGCCTTAATAAAAAAAAACATTAATAACAAACATTTATTAGTAGTTTGAGAAGAAACTTAATAGATCCCCTCAATTTATGCAAATCTAATGAACAAGGATACAATAACTCAAGAAATAAAAAATGTTAAATTTAGAAGCAATGAGACAAAAATAAGAAGCAAATAGTCAAGATTCACCACAACAAACTTCAAAATTTGTTGGCAGATGGCCTAACTATATCTGTTGTCCAAAAATGAGAATCAGGTAGACATTCCTAATGATGGCAACAACTAATGAAAGTAACGAGATGTTTCAGTAGCCATTCCTTTACTCTTGCAAGAAAAAATACTAACACATTAACTCAGTCAATTAGTTTAACTGTAGTCAAATCAACTTGGTGAACTCTAGTCAACCCATAACAAAATTGGTCAACCCAAGTTCAAGACGTACCAAGTAAGTCAAATGCAGTTAAGGTTTGTCATTATGCATAACAACAACTCTGGTCATACTAAATAAGATATTGTCTGTTTTGGCTAATCCCCCCCCCCGGAAATTATTCTATGCGGAGACTGGACGCATAACGCCGTCTGGAGACCAACCTGAATGCATCACGTCAACGGTACTGAACTACGGTACGGAGTGGCACCGAGCATATGAATTCCTTTTATACTCACATACCTCAATTTGAGTCACCATTAGATTTAAAATTGCCTCATAGGTTTTGTAACATCTGAATTCCTTTTTCTCCTGTTTTGCTTCCTCTTGAAAAAAATTTCTCCAAGATTTGGTGAGCCATTCTCCACTCTATTAGATTTTTTGTCAAGAGGATTTGAGATATATGTTTGTTTCTCTACTTGTTCTTTACTCCATATTTACTGATAGTGGATCATTTATACCTCATCACCCTATGAATACAAGTCATTCTTGAAAGAACCATATAAACCATCATGCTATCTCTATTATTTATCTTAAGCTAGTCATATTTCTGTCTTTGGTGCTTTTAACTAAAGTGATTTGAGCTTCCTACTACAACCAAAACAGATCTTATATAAAAAAAATGTAAGAAAAAAGATCTAATACATTTTGCTTCTAATATTCATATCTCATTGGCCCTCTCATATAATATCAGGGAAAATATTTCAAGAATAGAGTAGGAACAAAAGTTGAAAAGCAACCTTACTGTTCCAACATCTCTTCCAGTATCAGATATTGACAAGCTATAGAGAACTTTGCAGTTCTCATCCTTGTTGGCAAGTTGCTTTGATTAGCTATGTTCTTCAGCAGAAATGAATTTGCTCCACCACCTTTGCCATCCAAATGAACATAAATAAATAAATAAAATAAGAAGACTAAACTCAAGAATGAACTCAAAAAGCAGAAGCCAGCAGCATGAGGTTTTGTTTGGAATGACTTTTATGCTACTTCTCAAAGCAGCTTTCTGATACAAAAATTTTAATTTTTATACTATAAGGCTGCTTTATGAACAGTAAAAAAGTTATCCCAAACGAAACCTAAAAAAATTAAACAGCAGCTTCTTTTTAATATGATTAGTGGTTTAACGAAAAAAAATCATATTCTAAGGTAAATGTTCATGGCAGAGAATATGGAGTTAAAAAAAAAAATCATTTTCAACTTTGAAAGAGGGTAATCCATACGTGCACTTCAAACCAATATATTTCAATTTTGGGGCCCCTATAGCAACTTAGGAACATAGTTTTCGAAAGCTACAAATTTAAAGTAGACATCTGATAACAAAGTTCATTGCTTCTTAGGATATGGACTTGCTACTTTAGAAAGATAAGATTTTTCTGCACAATTTTATTTTAACTTGATTTTCAATCATACAACATTCAATTGACAAAAAGAAATCACTCACCTTAAACCTAATATAAACTAGAATGGCAATAAATTAATGAAAATTTTAAAATAAATTGATAATGTATGGAACAAACAAAAATAACATTCTAACAGAGTCTGGATTTGAGATTATATTATTCATCAATTTCATGTAGGAGTGCTCAAATGAAAAGCAATTTTTTTATTATATCATCAAAAACATTTTAAATAGATTTTATTAAAAAACATTATGTGAAAATGATACTTTTAGATGTAGGAACATATTAGAAAATTACCTATTCCTCTCTCTCTCACTCTCACTCTCACATACACACAAACTATATATAAACACACATGTAACATCAAGTACTAATAAGAAAATTAGGAAATTTGAGATTTTTTTGCAGGAAAGTAAATAGTTGTTGAGAATTTTAGATAGCTTTCATTTGGTATACACATGAAAGTTCTAATTTTTATTGTACCAAGAATAAGGCATGAGGAATCTGAAAGAAATATCATAAAATCAGAAATTTGCAATGCAGAGAATGAGGGGTACCAATGATGTGGAGCTTTGAGAGAAACGCATGAATCACAACATGCAGCTTCAAACAAAAGTTAACAAAGTTACTCTAAGGTTTTGTTTGGGACGGTTTTCTAGACAAAAATTTCTTGAATTTGAAATTTTTTACTAGAAAATCATTTTAAAAAGCAGTACAAAATTGTCCCAAACGAAATCTTCTTTGCATGAAACCAAAAGAGTTCAAGTGTGGGAATCGAAAGACATTGACCAGCATGTAGCATACCTTCAATGGTGAATATGGACTGTATCCATATCTTATATAAGAACAACAAGCTTGTTTTGTCTCGCTTATACGTATCTGAAAGTAGAAGCTTGCAGGATCCACCAGGTTGCGACATTGAACTTTGCAGAAAAAAACATTGCTAACGAAATCAGATAAGTACCTTTCAAATAAATAAACTAATTTAGATTTCACTCAAGATCTTTATTTGAATACCAGCATAGAAAAACCTGTATCTGAAAGGAATTTACATAGTCTTAACATATACATATAGAAACCCTCTAATAATTTTTTTTTCTTGTTGCCACCCAAAAGTCCCCAGGATAGGATTTGTTATGGCATAGGCGAAGTCAAACTCACGACCTTAGCAACAATTGTCAAGGCTTTTGTCAACCGGACTAACTTGCAACAGCAAACTAGAAGTTTTCACTTGTCAGTTGTCACCAGATTTTGATTGAGAAGGGAAGTTAGTGTAGAAAGATGCTTTGAAAGGAACAGAGCATCGTAGCTTGATCAAGGTGAGGAGATGTTCAATATAGATAGATTTCTATGAAATGAGTATAGGAGAAAAGCTTCTCGGATGATTGAAAGTCTGAAACATAGAAGTTACTCTGTCCCTCTTCAGTCACTCCATGAGACTACGTAGCTGCTTAGGTCACATTAGTACATTTCTGTATCATATCATAATAGCTTATGGGCTAATTTCGAGGTTATAAGCAAAGCATTATGCTCAACAAAGTATTTGGACTTTGACATATTTGGGTGAGTGCATTACCTCTTCAATCTCTAGATAATCATCGATACAAGCTACGCTCGACCTCACTGCTCATTAAGTACCAATCAAAATTCAAAACATTGGGTGACAGTAGAAACCAGAATGATCCATATTGTTTGTCACTAGGTGGCCTATACTGAGGCAAGCATTAGCTGCCCTGCCCTGGAGACCCCTTCTAATTTAAAAAGAGAAATTAAGAGTAATGATTAGCCAGTATCTGCTTAGTGTTTTCATCTTCTTATGTCATTCTTTTATATGAAAAATCAGAAGGTAGATGCAGCCTTGAAATCTACAATTTTCCTGGGCCAAATATTCCAAGATCTACATACTAATTGTGGAAATCCTAGGAGCAACCAAGGAGGTGGAAAGATATTCGTCTTGGAAGTAAAAACAACTAATAGATTAGAAGAAAAACACAGGAACCAAATATTAGGGATGATTTTTTATTATCTCTTCAACAAATAATGAAAGAAATAATTAATCTACTATTCGAGAGAATGATCAGCTCCCCCACAAGCCCTAGGCGCCGCTAGGAACGAAAAACTATAGAAAACACAATCACATAATGAAAATAAAAACACCCAATTAACCATAATATAAACCTTCCTACTTTCCTCCCAAATTTGAATTCCAATCAGCCATCTTCCCTTGAATAAACATTCACTAATTCTCTTCCAATCAAATCAGCCATCTTTCCATAAATAAACATTTCATAATTCCATCCTAATCAAATCAATCATCTTTCCCTAAACAAATATTTCCTAATTCCCTCCGATCAAATCAACCATCTTTCCCTAAATAAACATTTCCTAATTCCCTCTCTTAATTCCTCCTCCTTACATAATTAATAATAGACCCCCTCGGCCCCAAAAGGGCAAACCAAACCCCCTCTCCCCCCGACCCAAAGACACACCTTGTCCTCAAGGTGAAAGGATGGGATGTCTCCTGATCATCTCGTATGGCCCCCATGTGGCTTCGTCCTCCTTTCTCGGTAGTGCATCCGCGGCCTTATTCTCCAGTCCTGGACGATACTGCATGTAAAAATCATATCCAAGTAACTTGGATAATCACCTCTCATGCTCCTCAGTCACAATCCTCTACTCCAATCGAAACTTCATAATCCTATGGTTTGTCCTGACGATGAGTGTCACCACAACAAATAAGGTCGTCACTTTTGGATGGCTAAGACAATTGCTATCAACTCTCGCTTGCATGCGGGGTTTAGCCTCATCCTGGTCGTGGCAATGGGTTGATGATCTTGCAAGAGTACTGCCCCTAGTCTGTATCTTGTTGCATACGTCTCCACCATAAATGGTCTACTGAAGTCACAAAGTGCTAATACTGGCACACTGGTCATGGCTTTCTTCAGCTGCTCAAATGTTTGTGCTGCTATTTCCCCCCAATTGAAATTGTCTTTCTTTAGTTGCTCTGTTAGTGCTCATGCTATCATGTCATATTCACGCACAAACTTTCAGTAGTACCTAGTGATACCTAGGAACCCTCTTAACTCCTTCAGGTTTTTTGGTAAAGGACAATCCAACATAACCTTAATCTTAGATTAGTACACTACTATCCCTACTCTACTCACCACATATCCTAGGAATGTGCAAAGGAATATTTTTTTCATATTAGCATACAACTGGTGCTCCCTCAAAGTCTCTAGTACAGTCCTCAGGTGACTCATATGCTCTGTCATCGTACGAATGTAAATCAGGATGTCATCACAAAAAACTAAGACGAATTTTCTAAGAAAGGGTTGAAAAATCTAGTTCTTAAGGGATTAAAAAGTGGCTGGAGCGTTGGTAAGGCCTAAAGGCATTACCAAAAACTCATAGTAACCCACATCGCCCGACTTCATTCTGATATGGTGGTACGCCGACTTCCGGTCAATCTGCGAGAAGATGACCGCCCCAAACAGCTCATCCAGCAGCTCATCAAGCATTGGGATAGAAAACTTGTCAAGCACATTTTCCTTGTTTAGGGACCTATAATCGTTGCAAAACCTCCAACTATCTTTCTTCTTTGTGACCAGTAGAATGGGGCTATAAAAGGGGTTCACACTGTGCTTGATAATCTCTGCCTCAAACATCTCTCTGATGAACATATCAATCTCATCCTTCTGAATCTGCAGGTATCAGTACAGTCAGACACTAATAGGAGAAGCTTCATTTTTCAAGGTAATGGTGTGCTCGTGCTCCCTAGGTGCTAATAATCTGCTAAGCTGTTGAAAAACCACAAGAAATTGCTGCAAAAGCTTACGTACACACTTAGGGACCTCAATTGGCTCTGAATCTCGGACCTCCTCTAGGCTTTGTAGTTCCACCAAGTAACCCAGTCTTGCTCCCTGTATCGATTTGAACATGGTTTTGAGTGAAACCATGATTTTGCACAGGTTGACATCTCCTCACAACACCACCCTCTTCCTCTTCACCTGGATATTCATGGTCAAAGATTTCCAGTCCACATTCATCTCCCCGATCATCTATAACTACATCATCCCTAGGATCACATTACTGCTCTCCAAATCCAATGGAAGAAAATAACCGACTATATGTATACACTGGAATGTCAGCACCAACTCCTGCAAATCCTCTTACTCCTCTCTACATTCCATGTCCTCATCATGACTCTAAAGCTCCCTATATCCATCAACTTCAATCCCAACTAGTCCACAACCCGATTTGAGATGAAGTTGTGAGTAGCCCCACTATCCATCAAGACCGCCGTTGGCTGCTCCCTGATCATTCCCCTCACTTTCATGGTGCGATTTGGAGTAAATCACACCACTAAATTAAGGGACACTTCCACCATATTAAGGTGTAGGTGCTCTCCTCCTGCTTCTTCTTCCACTTTAGCTCCTCATTGTCGGTCTCCTCCTCATCAGAAACCTTTAGCTCTCTTTTCCCCCGTCTATGCCTCTGTGAGGCGCTTAAAGTTGGCCCCAATGCAAACTCCCCCACTTTTCTTCCTAGGTGTTTCCCGCTGTAATGACACCGCCTGGGTCCTCGGTGCCAGTGAAGTCCAGGCACTCCTTTAGGATCCTCCTGTGACTTCGCTCCTACTAGCTCCATCGTCTCTCTCAATCACTTCGGCCTCAACAATCGGAGATATGCTCGTATGTTGGGCTTTAAACCCTTCATGAAATTTCTCTCCAACATTGACTCTGAAATCCCCTCAATCGTCTAGACTGCTACCCAAATCTCTCTATACTCCATGACGGTCCCTTCTGGAGCCGAGGCAAAGAATTTCTCGTGTAGTTCTCCTTCTCTAATGGCTCAAAAATATTCCAACAAGCAATCCTTAAACTCCTCCCAAGAGTTGATTGGATATAGAGCCTCACATCGCTGGAACCAAGCTAGGGCTTTCATCTCCAAACATAGCCCCACCACCATAAGCTTCTCCTCCTCATTCAACCCATTCACCGTGAAATACCTCTCCACCTGGTACACCCACCCATGGGCATCCTCCCCTTCAAATATTGTCATCTTCAACTTTCTTACCCTAACATTTCCACTCTATCTTCTTCTAACTCCAACGGTTCCCCCCATGTATTAAGGGTGGGAATCCCATCTTTCTTCCCTCCTCCTTGCATGATCTGATCCTCATGGCTCGTCTCGACCCCCTCCATCTCTAGTCGCACATTCCCCTTACTCAAAATACCTCCCATAATTGTCGACAACCCTACCATGTCCACCACCAAATTCCCTCATGTTGTCCCCCAACTGGAAACCCTAATCCACCCCTTATCAGAGCCCTATGAGCTAACTCTTAATGAAAGAAACTCTCCTCGTCAAACTCCTCTCGTTTGAACTCATTTCCCTTAAATTCGGCCAAGAGAATCCCGATCAAATATTGATTAGAGTTAGCAATTGGAATCACCAGTAGAGTTTTGGACTGCATCGACATGAGCTTCCTCATTATCCCCTCCAACCCTACAAATCAGCTCTCCATCTAATTCTCCATGGCTGAAAAACATTCCTACGATGGTTGAGAGCTCCTCCATCTCGGATTTGATTTGCTCCACTTTGCCTTCCAACGCACCAATCTTCTTTGGTGTCATCTCTCCAAAACCTCGCTCTGATATCAGTTTGATGTATCTTGAGTAAAAACAACAAGTAAACAAGTAGAAAAACACATGAACCAAATATTAGGCCTGTTTTTTTTATTATCGCTTCAACAAATAATGAAAGATACAATTGATCAACTATTGTAGAGGTAGATCGGCTCTCCCACAAACCCTAGGCACCGCTAGGAACAACTCCAAAGAAAAACTACAACAAATACAATCACATAATGAAAATAAAACCACTCAATTAACCCTAATAAAAACCTTCATACTTCCATGCC